AAAAAAAAAAAAAAGAAACTGGTTGTGTGGCCCCGGGGGCTGCTGCATTTTGGCTGTAAAATTTTTCTTCATTACTCGTTCACTGTAAAAAATGCAGGAAATTGAGATAAAGAAAAGATACTCAGGTCGCTGTTGGTGGCATTACCCTCTGAGCGGGGATAGTGGTGTTGACTTATGTACGGACACTTCCTCCCGGCAGCTTTGGGGCCCGCAGGGCAGGGAGCGGAGCGGCTCTGGGCCTCATCTCACAGAGGAGGAAACTAAGTCTTAGGAAAGCACATGTGGCTTCCTGGGGCGCACAGACATCAGCTGTCCCTGTGTCATTCAGATCTCCCAAAATGTCACTTTCATTGACAGCGAGAGAGCTTGTCCACCTGAGCATGGTGGGACTGATTTGACGGGCCTGCCAGACACTTGGGTCCTTTGCAGTTTTGAAATGCGTGTCCTCCGTTGCCTTCCTGAACAGTTAGCACGGCAGCGTGTGTCTGTGCTCGCAGCGTAGCTGCAGTGCCGGTGTCCTCAGCCTTCACTGCCACCTGCTGCCAGCATCCTTGGGGGTGTCGGTCTCGCCACGTCCCTTCCACATCAGTGGCATGCGGAAGGCAGGATAGGAAAGGCCCCCAAAGCGCTCCTGCCTCTCCTCTGAAGTCCCCTGAGCTGGGCAAAAGCTATTCACCTAGTCTGGGGGATGGTCTTCCGGCCAGGATCTCTGAGTGTCTCTGTCCAAGCCGGTGGGATCCAAGTGGGTTTTGAGCTTGCTTTTTGTGGCCCTCCAGCCATGGGTGAGGCTGAGTCGGCTCCTGTACTCCCCCAGACTCCCAGGACTCCGGCTCTCTCTGCTTCTGCTTCCGGTGGCTGCTCATCTGGTTCAAGAGGGAATTCCCCTTCCTGGATGTCCTTCGCCTGTGGGAGGTGGCCCAGCCGGTTTGGGTGGGAGGCCTGAAGGGGAACAAGGGGGCTCTCCTACCCACAGGAGGGGCTGGGAGGTTGGGGGCAGATAGGCAGAGGGTGTCACGGCAGACCTGAGGGGGGCCTTGGGCAGAGGCTGGGCCATGACTCCTCCCTCCCCCTGTACCCCAGGTGCTGTGGACAGGGCTCCCTGGCCCCAATCTGCACCTGCTGGTGGCCTGCGCCATCCTGGACATGGAGCGGGATGCCCTCATGCTGTCTGGCTTCGGCTCTAACGAGATCCTTAAGGTGAGGGCGGGTCCCTCCCAGCCTGCCCTGACCTGGGCTGGAGCCCGTGCCACAGTGCGATGTGGGAGTAGGTGCTCGGAATGGGATTATTGACAGTGTGGTTAGCTGTGAGCACCGTGGGCTGGGCCTGGATCAGTTTTCTCCTACCCCATCCTATGCCTGCCCCCAGCAGTGTCCTCACAGAGCGGGGGAGGGGGGACCTGCCCCTCCCCAGGACACGCACCAGTGGCGGGCTGGGGTCTTTCCCCTCACTGCATCACGGCCTCTGGCAAGCAATGAGTGCTCGTTGAAGGCCTGAGAAGCAGGACCCCTGATGGCCCAGCTGCCTCTGAGCCCCCAGAGGGCCAGCCCTGTCTTCCCTCCATTGTGTCCCCAGCACGAGGCAGAGTGGGCGCCCGGGCGGTGGTGGCTGCGTGTGCCGCCTGGCGCCTGACCCACCCCTCCCGCAGCACATCAACGAGCTGACCATGAAGCTGAGCGTGGAGGATGTGCTGACGCGGGCCGAGGCCCTGTACCGGCAGCTGACTGCCTGCCCCGTGAGTCCCCAACCCCTCCCAGCGCCCTGTGCCAACAACCCTCGGACCCCTGCTCGCCTCTGACTCGCCTCTGATGCCTCCCTGCCCCCCAGGAGCTGCCTCACAACGTGCAGGAGGTCCTGGGTCTGGCACCGCCTGCAGAGCCCCACAGCCCGTCACCCCCTGCCTCCCCGCTGCCACTGTCACCCACCCGGGCCCCGCTGGCCCCCCCGCCCCCCGCAGACACAGCCCCGCAGCCTGACAGCAGCCTGGAGATCCTGCCTGAGGAGGAGGAGGATGGGGCAGACTCCTAGCCCTGCCGGGCACGTGACGCGCACAGGCACTTTATCCTGTCCCCGCGGAGGCCGGGAGGGCCCTGGGAGGAGGGGCGGGTGTGCTCCTGATAAACTGACTTCATTAAACACACTTCTCACTTGCAGTTATCCCCGTGTTCTTGGGGGGAAGAGGCTGCCACTTTGGCTCCTACCTGGATGGGGAAGGGGTAGTGGCTCAGGGTCCCCTCTGGTGGCTCCGCAGAGATAAAGCCTGTGGCCCTGAGCCAGCCAGTTGGACGCAGGAGGAGGCCCCCTTGGGGGTGAGTGACAGGGCTCGGTGGAGGCGAGGCTCCCTCACCTGCCCCAATTGGTGTTTTGGAGGAGTGCGGATGAGGCTGTCACTTTAAGTAGCTGTGCAGGGACACATCTTGGACATAACTGAAATGCAGGGACCTGCGGAGCTGCACACGCTGGGGACCTTGCCTACCAGCCGCTGCTTAGTGAGAAAAATAAACTCGTTTAACCCACCATTAGTTGGATTTTGTTGCTCGCATCTGCGGGTCACTGTGATTACCGTTTGCCAGTGGTGCGAGGCAGAGTGTCCATCCTGTTCCTCCCCTCGCCCCCCACGGAGCCCTGCTGTCCAGGAGGAAGGGAGGGGCAGCTGCTTCTGGGGCTCCAGGACAGGCGGCCTTTTTTTTTCTCTCTCTTTTTTTAAGGTCCAGAGCGACAAGTTCTAAGCTCTAGGCGCCACCTTTCTAACCGGATAATGGCTCTGGTTCAGGCAAACTGGGGAAACAACTGAGCCAAGGAGGAGGCTGGACCACCCGGCTTTTTCCGAAAATACTTTAATTCGAGGTCCTCTTGTGGGTCGTGTGTGGGAGAGAGAACTGGGGTTGTACTGGAGGTTGGGTGTCACCTTCCTTTGCCGGGTCATAGGGGGTGCTGCTGGCCATCGAGTGCTTGTGGCCCTTCCGCTGCCACGGCTCCTGTGCGCCGGCAGTCAGGGACACAGGCCTCTTCCCGCTGTTGATCCTAATGGCAGCACGCAGCGCCGACTTGACGGCCGTCTCCACCCAGCCGTGTGGGTAGGCCGTGTGCTCCCCAGCGAAGTAGATGCGGCCGTAAGGGACGGCCCAGTTGTAGTCCTGCGCGTTGTCCTCGGTGTGCCAGAGCGCCGGCGGCTGCACCACGAAGCCACCCTGGCTGTGCGGGTCCTCTGCCCAGCGCTTGACGAAGCCCCTGCCGTCCCAGAGCTGGTGCACGATCGGCCCGTGGAGCGCCGACACGTCGCGGAGCGCCAAGCGCAGCGCCTCGTTCAGGCTCAGGCCGGCAAACGAGGCGGCGGCGTCCGACCACGTGTACGAGGCCAGCAGCAGCGCGCCCTCGTGCGGCGGCGGGTAGAATATCATGCGCGACGGGCGGTTGGTGTTCGAGTGGCCGCCTTGGATGTGCTCGTCGTGCCAGAAGGGCCGGCGGAAGCTCAGGTATACTTTGGTGGCCGGCACGTAGTGCAGACCACGCAGCGCCTCCTGCAGTCGGCGCGGCAGCGGCGGCGAGAAGCTTATGCGCTGCACCGCCGGCCCGCTCGCCGTCAGCAGCACCACGTCCGCGGTCAGCGCCTTCAGATTGTGGTGGGAGGTGGCGATCTGCACTTGCACATGGTGCAGCATCTGCGTCATCGCCACGACCGGCGCGTTCAGCATCACGGGCCCCGACAGCAAGCTCAGCAGCGCGCGCGGCAACAGGTCCCAGCCGCCCACGATGCGACTGTACCTGCGGGCGAGGCGAGCGCGTGACCCGGGCTCTGCGCCCCGCCCCTCCGCGTAGGCCCCGCCCCCTCGCTGCTTGCCCCTGCAGGCACCTCCCCGCTCCCGCTAGGCCCGCCCCTCCGTCTGCCTCTCCCCGACCCCGCCGGTTCTCGCTGTTCCCGAGGCCTGAGGAGTAGGGGATTGTGCGACCCCAGAACCTTGCCGCTGCTCCTCTGGACCACGCCCTTCTCCGGGAACCATTCTTACCAGCTCCTCCGGAGGACCCGGATGCCTGCGCCCACGCGGCCGGACCACCTCTCCAACCCTTCAGCCCTTCCCCCACCCCTCGGGCCACGCCCTTCCCGCCAGCTCCACCCTCCCCATGCACGGCCCCACCCACTCCCCGTTACTCGCCCCGATTGGCCTCCGCCCATCCCGCCCCTATCCGCCGGCCCCGCCCCTCACTGGAGCCGGTCGCTGAGGCAGCTGTGGGCCCGAAGGGCCTCCGAGAAACTGAGATAGAAGAAACCATCCTTGGACATCACATCTCCTAGGAGCTGTACGGCCGGCTGGCTCAGGTTCCCCTCCCCGAGGAGGTATTCCTGCGGGGTGGGTGCGGGCCGAAGTCAGGGCCCCGACAGGCTGCACCTGCCGGCTCCGTCCCCACTCCCATGGGCAGCCCTCCCCAGCTGGGCCTCCCTGGCACCTCCCCGGGACCGAAGCGATCTGGTCTCCCCTCCTGTGACAGATGAGGGAAACTGTGTTCCAGAGAAGGGGCGTGTCCAGCCCTTGAGTCAAGCAGGGAGGCGGTGGCAGGACTGGGGTCCTGGTGTCCTGCCTTCTGACTCTTTGGGGAAGGCCCCGTGGCACCCTTTGTGTCCCCATTTCCCAGACAGCGAAGCCGGGGCCCCACTCACCAGGAGCGTGTGCCTTTCAAATTTCTTCATTGCCTTTCTGCAGCCCAGGACCTTGAGATCTTTGAGGGCCTGTCGTGGAACAAGCAGACGGTGCTGAGCCGCTGGGGCAGGAGGGGTGAAGGCCCGGCCTGGAGGCCAAGCCTGGGTCCTGCCCCGGTTCTGCCCACGGCGGGCCGCCACTCTCTTTCAAGCCCCTGGGCTTTTGCCCATGCTGTGCCCTCAGCCTCGCCCTTCACTGCGACTCAGGCGCCACCACTCCAGCAAGTCTTCCCAAATCGTTAGTACCCGTCAGCCCCCAGCACTCAGCCCCCCTGCGTTGTCACCTCTCATCCCAGTGGGGTATCATTTTGCCTATTCCTACGCTAGCCTGTGAGCTCCATGAACGCGGGGCTTGTGTCTGTCCCCGTCATGCTCGGTAATTATCTGTTGCCTGGATCATTGTGGGCACGGACAGAAGCTGAGTCCCCTCTGCCACCTGTCAGCACTGACAGGGCATGACCACTCAGGGAACTCCCCGAGGAAAGAGGTGCCCCTTCACTCAGTCACTCATTCACCTCCCATGTGCCCAGGCTCCGCAAACCGGTCACTGCGAGGGCACGGAAGTGACCCAGACTCGGCCCCCTCTCTCGTCCAGGATGGGAGATGGGCAAGTAACGGGCTCTCAGAGTGGGGTGTAGCCAGCTCCACCCTAAGGGCACCAGGAGGGCCTCCTGGAGGAGGGGCCTTGCGGGATGAGAGTGGCAGTTCCCTGGGCGGGAAAGGGAGAGGCATGGGCTTGGGGCGATGAACAAGTGCGGTGGGTGAGAAGGAACATAGAGCTGGGGGCATCTGGACCACCGTGAAGACTTTGTGAGTGACAGAACCTTCTTAGAGGAGAAAAGATGAGGCTGGAGGGGTGGGGCAGGTAAGGCCCCTCAGGACTGGAACCTGAGCCTGAGAAGCTGGCACTTTGTCCTGGAGGCTTTGGGAGCCACAGGGAGCTGTGAGCTCAGTCACTCTGGGTGTGGAAAGCGCCTCCTGGCGCCAGGCTGGGGAGACTGAGGCTGGGCAGCCGGGAAGGAGGCTGGGTGAGGGTAGGGGAGAGGAGGAGGCCTGAGCTGGACAGAGAGGTGGGAGCAGGGCTGGGGACTGAGGGTGGGGGAGGGGAGAGGGAGGCGGGGAGGGGAAGTAGGGATCAGGGGGCCCCTGGGGGCATGCAGGTGACTGGGGCATGGAGAGGGACAGAGGTCTGGGTCTCAGGAGACAGATTTCGGAGACATCAGCCTGTAGATCCAAGTTCAGGCCAAAAGCGTAGGAAGGTGAGGTTGTCCAGGATAGTGTGTGGGTGAGAAGAGGAAGAAGACACCAAAAGCGGATGGCGCTTCGGGGACCAGCAGTGTTTATCGGGAAACTAAAGACTGAAGAGCCAGCGGTGGGAGACCAGAGGGATGACAGAGAGAAGGAAAGCCACGCCGGGGAGCAGGCCGGGGGCCGCCCCGGAGGAGAAGAGGCGGCGGGGGCATCGGGGCGGGAGGAGCGCGGGGCAGCGCACCTTGTCGAGAGCCATCTGGTAGATGCCCTCGGGCGAGTGGCCCTTCTCCCTGGGGCGCAGGGCGTAGCCCAGCTTCTCGGGCATCCTCTCCACCACGTAGTTCCGCAGCTTCACGTTGTTCGCTTCCGTCCACGTGTTCTCGTCGTACTGGGCGAATTCTGTCAGGTTGAGTCCCAGGCTGCGGCAGAGCGCATGCAGGATCCTGGGGACGGGAGGTTGGCTGAGGGTGGGGTCCGGCGGGGTGGCCCCACCCCTGCGGGGGGTTGGAGGAGGGAAGGGGATGCGCATGAGGCCAGGGGTGGGGCTGGATTTGGGGTCATCAATGCTGGAGGCCTAGAGGGTACAACAGTGGAGCTGGCTTTGGGCTCGCGCAGGGCTAGCTGGGGTCTGGCCGGACGAGGTGGCCTGAGCGTTGCAGGAGGCACAGTGGTGGGGCTGGAGCCAGGAGACCGTGAGTCGGGATTAGGTGAAGGATGCAGTTGGAGGTTTGGGTCTAGACCCGACTTGCATTGGGGGTCTAGGTTGGAGGAGTCGAAGTTCAAGTTGGGGTTCGGGCTGAGTCTGGGCACAGAGGTGGGGCTGGCGGTGGCCCTGGTGCCTGCCTGGTTGCGGGTCAGGCCCCACCTGTGGGAGCTGGGCATGCGCATGGCTCCCAGCTCCCCAATCCAGCCAGTCTTCGGGTCCTGGTAGGTGAAGATGCGGCCCCCGACCCTGTTGTCTGCCTCCAGGATGGTGACCTGCAGGAAGGGGGCGGGCCCTTCAGCTCCTCCCACTCACCCTGCCCACCCTCACCCTGCCCTGTGCCAGCCCCTGCCTTCTTCCGTCCCCACAGACCTAGACTAGAAGGGTCCCTGTCTCTGTGGGAGGTGGGGCTGCTTGTGGGAGAACAGCACATAGTGAGCAGTTCCAGGCTGCAGCAGAAGGCCACCAGTTAGATTGGAGAGGGACTTCCCAGCTCAGAGAGTGGGGACATTTCCCGTATGCCTAGAAACCCCTGGGTTAGCCCATTCTCATTCTTGGATTTCAGTGAGAGAGATAGCGGTTAGACCTCAGGGGGCACTTCCCCTTGGTGGAACTTCCATCTCCACCAACACACACTCCCAGCTCAGGTCGGAGGATCTTTCACGTGGGACTTCCCTCCGGGATGAGGAAGAGTAGGCCAGGAGAGTCTAGGGCCTCGGTGCAGACCCAGGAGAGCAGGGGGCTTTGGGCCCCACTCCCAGACCACCAGGGAAGAACAGCTCCCTCTCTCCACCTCCCACCAAACTCCACCCTCTCAAGCGGGGATGTGGCCAGGACCCTCTGCCTGAGGACTCCAAGCCTGCAGCAGGAAAGACTCAAGGTAGACTGCAAGCAGCACTTCTCACCTTGTGTCCAGCATCACTGAGCACCTTGGCGGCCACCAGCCCAGCCACACCAGCGCCAACCACGATCACCTTCTGGGGCTTCAGGGTCCGATTGAGGCCCAAGGTCACCACCTCGAGCAGCTGCTCATAGTCAGGATCGTGCATGCATTTCTCGAAGGGGTCCTGGCTGTGGTCAGCCCTCCAGTCCAGGCAGGCCGCCAGGCTGAGGAGGATGGGGACGAGCACGAGGAGGCGCAGGGCTGGGGAGGAGGACAGGGTCACTAGTAGGTGGTGGGGACGGAGGAGAGAGGGGTTCTGCCCCACTTGTCCCAGAGCCCCCTCCACTGCTTACTCACCCAGCGGGGCCATGCCTCTCGGTAGGAGATGGTGTCTGGGGTGGAGGAGAAGCGAGGGCCACTGTGATGGGACCAGTGTCCCCCCAGGCTGACTCTGTCTCCCTGTAGGTTGCCCAGCGGCCTGCCTCAGCCCTCGCCCGTAACCACCTCCCTCTCTGGACGCCTGTGTCCCCGACTTGCTTCCTTCAGAGTCCCCCAGACCATCCTCGCCTCCCTCCTTGCCAGTCTCTGCCCTCATTCTCCACCTCTGCCCGACATCTCTCCTGCTCTGTTCAGCTCGCTCTCCGCCTCCCCGTCTCTCCTCTGCTCCCTCTTTCTCTCACCTCCTCCCCGCCTGCCTGGCGCTGGGTCTCCCCCCTCTCCCCCCCGCCTCTCAGCCAGCCCCTCTTTTGTGCAGGTCCTGTCCCTGTCCCCCTGCCCCCTCTGGCTGTGTCTCTCTACCTCCGGCGCGGGGACAGCAGCGTGGTGCTTTGCTCCGCTCTGCCCTCCGCGGCACCTTCTCTCCCCTTAAACCAGCCGGGCCCGCCCACCCCTCCCTTGGGGGATCGGCAGGGAAATGAAACTGCTATCCCGGAGTTGCAAGGTCAGATGCTCCGAGTCTCATTGAGGCTGGGGGAGGAGGGTGGGCGCGGGAGGGGTGGGAGAAAGGGGGCTGGGAGGAAGTAAACCAGTCTATTTTCTTCCTTTTGCCCCAAGTAGTTCTGGGGCGGTTTGGAGGCCAGAAATAAATGCTCAGGTGACCTCGCTAACAGCAGGGACTGCCCCTGTGGCCTGCCCGGGTCCCTGATCGCCAGGTCCCTGTCTCTACCCTCCCGTGTTCTCTCTGCCTCCTTGATTCCTGGGGCAGGAGGACAGAGGGTCTCTGGCCATGAGGCTGCAGGTCGCTGGGCCAGGCCTCTTTTCTCCTTTTCTCCACCATGCCCTGCAGGGCCCTCGATGGCTCCACTGCCCCCCGGCCCCCACTGCCTCCCCTTGGTGAGATCCTGAGATGGGCGTGGTGGCAGGGCTCGCGGGCGGCAGCACAGTCGTCAGGGCCTGGGCTCTGAGCCAGCCCACCTGGCGCCGCCAGCCGGGGACTTTGGGCGAGGCCCTTCCCCTCTCTGTGGCTCCCGTCTGCAGCTGTCACACGGGCCGTCACAGTGTTTTAGGGTTGAGTGAGGGAATCCAGGTAGGACCTGCGCAGATCCCGCTCCCGCGGAAGTGCCCGGCCGGCAGCAGGAGCACCCAGGCTTGCCCTTGCCCCTCCTCCCCAGCCCGGCCTTGAGGACCACCGTGGCGCTCAGCTCAGGGCAGGGCGTGGGTGGCAGCCTGAAGTGGGCGGGGTGGGGAAGCAACGGCGGGGACTTTTCTTGGGGGTAGGGAGAGGGAGCCAGGGCGTTCGGGAGGACAGAAGCCAGAGGGAGGCAGATTCTCTGTAGCTAGGGCGTGGGGGGCGTTGCCGAGAAAGAGCGAGATGGGAAACTCTTGACAGTAAATGGAAGAGGGATGTGGTTTGACGGAGGGAAGGGGCTGGAGGTGTGTATGAGTCAGAAGACGTGTGATGTTGCCGGGAGGCGGCGGCCGAAAGGAAACAGGATCGAAGAGCTGGACAGAGCCTCCGACGCTGCCTGCTGAGAGCTCAAGTCAGCAAAATGGTAACGAGAGGGTCTGTCCCCATGGTGAGCTCAGAGGTCACCCTGTGCCCGGGGCTTTGCACTCATCGTGACCCTCACAATGCCTACATTTGACAGATGAGGACACAGACGCTCAGAGATGGTGAGTGGCGGGGCAGAGGAGGACCCTGGGGCACAGAGAGAGGAAGGGACTTGCCCAAGGTCCCAGAGCCCAGGTCTTCCCCCCACAGACGAGGCCTGCTTTATTCACGGTGACATGTAGCGTACGAACGCTACATCGTGACCTTGGTTACCTGTGCCTCGGCCAGGCCCTGTGCTCTGCAAACGTGATTTCTCGTCTAGTCCAGGCCCCGAGTGTGGGGGCAGGATCCTGGGCCAGAGGGGAGAGTGCTTTCCCTGGGCCCAGAGCCGGGAAAGGTGGTGCTGGGGGTTCCTACCAGGTCGGGCGGACCCCAGGCTCCCCTAGCCCCTGCCCAGAAGACCCCCCGGTTCTACAGCCTCGTGACAGTGTTCCACACAAGTGAGAGGAAACAGAAACTACCCTGAAAAGGGGTGGACACCACAGAGCCAAGGGGCTCCCAGAGCAGGTCCGGGCAGAGTTTTTGGGTCCCCAGAGTGGATGGGTGAGGCCCTGCTGGGGTCCCTGAGTCGACCCTGTCTTTCCCATACGGGTTGCCGTTCACAGCTCCCTGGCTCTGGGCACACGCACAGCTCACCTGTGGACTCTAGGGAAGGCAGATGCAGCGCCAGCCTCCCCCTGCAGGGATCAGAGGGGGAAGGAGTGGGAGGGAGAGAAACAGAGCACTGCTGTGGGGAGCACTACTCAGGGGGAGCACCGCCTGAGAGCACGGATCCCTTTAGAGCAGGGTCTCATCAATCACCTTGCTATTGATGAATGACAGTGGCTACTGTTCAGTAGTAATTAACTGTGTGTCAGACACTTTATATGTTTTCCTTCATTTACTCCAAGAACAAACTCTGACAAGGTGAGTTTAGCGTCCCTGTTTTACAGTAGAGAAAACTGAGGCCAGATCAGTCACCAGCTTGGAAGGGACAGAGCCCAGCTTTGATGGCAGGCAGCCGGGCTCCCGGCTGGTGTTCTTAACCACTCTGCGGTCAGGAGCGAGCTGCCACTTGGGGATTAGGGATGGGGGTCCGGACAGGGTGTCTCCACCTCAGCACTGTTGACATTGGGGGCCAGGTTGTTCTTGGGGGGGGCCTGTCCTGCACATTTAGCAGCATCGCTGGCCTCTACCCAGTAGATGCCAGTTGTACTCTGTCCCCATCCAGGGGTGACAACCAAAAAGGTCTGCACACAGCGGGAAAAGAAGAAACGCTGGAAGGTCATATGGCAGAGTATCCTACAGAGGTTGTTTTGGGGTCAGGAGATTATGAATAATTTGGGGTTTGTTTTCTTCCTTTGAGTTTTTTTGTGTATTTCACATTGTCCTCATTCAGCATGTATTACTTTTGCAATTAAAGAAAAAAATCCCAATTAGTGTTAGTTTGGAGCAATGCATCGGGCAGGGCCAGGCACCCAGAGTGAAGAACAGAGAGAGGCACAGGGCCGAGTCGGGACCGTGCTCATCTCCGCTGGTGGAAAGAGTGGGCTTTCTAGATCATTCCTAATAATACTGAAGAGATTGGCATTTGGGTTAAATCAGGGGTAAGGATTAGGGTGGAATGAGTCAAGAAAAAGAGCAGTTTGGATCAGGTAGTGGGTAGGAGACAGGACAGGGTGGATGCCCAGCGGGCCAGAGCTGGGTCAGGCTGGGAGCAGAAGCAGGGACGGGAGGGAGCAGGGGGAGGAAAGGTCAGATCAAGTCCCTGTTGGTTTGGGGATATCCTGGTTTTATGATGGAATTTCTAGAAAACAATGTTAATCCTTCCAGGTAAAAATGGTTTTCATTTATTTATTTTGAGACAGTCTTCCTCTGTTGCCCCGGCTAGAGTGCCGTGGTATCAGCCTAGCTCACAGCAACCTCAAACTCTTGGGCTCAAGCGATCCTCCTGCCTCGGCCTCCTGAGTAGCTGGGACTACGGGCATGCGCCACCACTTCCAGCTAACTTTTTCTATTTTTAGTAGAGATGGGGTCTCACTCTTGCTCAGGCTAGTCTTGAACACCTGAGCTTAAGCGATCCTCCTGCCTCAGCTTTCCAGAGTTCTGGGATTACAGGTGTGAGTCACTGCCTGGACTAAAAATGGTTTTTAGGGGGAAAAACCCTACCCTATTTGATTTACTTCTAGAACCACAATAATGGTTCTAATGGGGTTTTGGTCATATCTACACAGCAGCCAGAGACCCGTCGCCAACCCTACCGGGGGCCTCGTGGCCCATCGGGGCAGCTAATGCTGATGGCAGCCACAGATGTGCTAAGGGTGGGCCACTGCATGACACAAACACGTGTGTGTGTGTGTATATGTACACGTCCACATCCACACTCTCTCCGAGTCCATCCGAAGACCCTGAGTGCTCAGTATTAGAACTTTCACCAAGTCTCAGAGGCTGGCAGGGCCTGCCTAGGGGAGCCCAGGGACCCAGGCGAAGTCGGGGGTTAGGGCCAGGATGGGGGGAGGGGTGCAGAGAGAAAAGGATGGACTTACCTGAGCCTCTCTGATCCTCTGGCCTGACCCCCAGACAGGGGCCCCCTCCCCACAGAGCCCTCCTGCCCCTCCTTCCCCAGTTTCCAGAACACCCCTGGGCCCCGGATGCGGGGGAACTCACTGCATGGCTGGCTCTGGGGGGCTCTCTCAGCACCCATGGCCTTTCTGGTTAGCCTGGGATAGAAGTCATCGTTGGGCGCGTGCAGAGCCGGGGTGAGTGGTGGTGGCTTTGTCCTGATGCCCTTGTTAGAGCAGAGGTGCCAGGGTCCTGGTGTGGGGTCAGAGTGGTTGAAAAGCAGACCTTCCCTCCTTTCTCAAGTGTTTTATTACGGAAAATTTCCAATCGTATAGAAACAGAGATGCTAGGATGAGGATCCCACGTGTATCTGTGGCCTCACAGCCCTGTTTCACTTACGCTTTCTCCCTCCCCCGTTGGATTATTTTAAAGCAAATCCCAGACACGGTATTGTTTTGTAGGTAAATACGTTGGGATGTTTCTCTCAAGCAGGGGCTGGCAAACTTTTTGTGTAAATGTTTGTGGCTTTGCAGGCCACAGGCTCTGTGTCCCGACTACGCAACCCTGTCCTCCAAGCGGCCAGAGGCAACATGTAAATGGTGGGTGCGGCTGTGTTCCAGTAAAACTTTATTTACAAAAACAGGAGGGGGGGACTGCAGTTTGCCAACCTCTCCTCTAAAAGAACTGATTTGCTTTTTAAAAAACAACATTTACAATACCACTTCACATTTAAAAACAATGATAATTCCTTAATATCATTTAATCAACGTTCACATTTCCCAGGTTGCCTCATAATTATTTTTTTAAACAATTGGTTGGTTGGACTTAAGATTCAAATCAGAGCCCACATAGCATTTGAGTGAGTGAGTGTCTCTGTCAGTAAGTGTCACTTTGGTTCCATGGATTTGGGAATCTGTTTCCTTAGAACTGGAGGGTCCGATGGGACACCAGGGCACCAGTCTGGTTCCTGCCACAGGGAAATATTTGGCGCTCATGGGGGTTTGACTGGATAGTGTACGGAGGTGAGGTGAATGGGAGTGCCCAGGTGAGTCACTGGGTTTGAGGTGACCAGTGCCCGGGTGTGTGCGAGCTGGAGGTGTGATGTTGTGGGACAGGCACGCGAGCAGCTGGGGTCACCGGAGCCTGGCTGGGGGGCTGGCCGCTGTCCAAGAAGCAGACCTGGCTCCTGAGGGTGAGGGATCTGACTCCCTGGGCGGCTCTGCAGAGCCCCTGCCCTGGGAGTCTGGAGGTAGATTTTTAAAGCACTCAGACATTTTGGGGTTTCACTGAAAACTTAGGAGCAGCGGTGTGCTGGAGCTGGCGCGTGCCAATTCACAAGAGCTGACTTAAATTTTCAGGATTTTTTGGTTTTGCTTTGTAAGCCATTCAGTATTTATTATATTTACAATTAAACAGATTTTACTAAAAAGAAAATATTCAAAACGCATCGCTTCCTGATTGTGTGACTACGTTTTACACTATTATATATGCTCTTGAGGTGAACTTACTGTTTCTACATAGTGTGTCTCTCCTCAGTTTCATGTTCAGTGACTTCACATTGGCAGCTTGAAATCAGCCGGGGTGGGAATATTTACACCACGGAAACTGGCATCTCGTACAAATCAGGGCTTCCTCCCACTGCAGAGAGCTGACTATCAACATGTACCAGCACACCACTGCCTGGGAATGATTAGTTTCAATCTTCCATAGGAGATCAAGGCTGCTCTCTTGCTCTGGAAATGTTTCAAAAATCTGAGCCTTTGGATGCTGAGCTGTGGCCAGTGAACGGGGCAGGGGAATCTTCCCGGGGAAGGGGCTACAATGTGGATAGTCATTTGAGGGTTTTTCCGAGACTAAAAGAAAGCCACAGCTATAAATCCTATTGCCACTCTTATCCCTAAACAGGGAATAGAAACACAGTAAGAGCTTACTGAGGAGATTCACCTTTAAAAGCCTCCGATTCCAAATTTAGTCAGCACTTTTGTTGCCTTCATATTAATTAATGAAGAAGAACTTAAGTGGAGGCCATTTGTCTGGGCCGGCAAGGCGCCTCTGTGTTTTCTTCCTGGAAAGGGAAACTGCAGTTACAATGACGCCATCATCACAGGGTGGCTCCCAGTCAGCTGCAATCTCGGGGACCCCTCCCTGACGCCCCCAGGGAGCCTGTTGGGACCATTTCCCACATGGTTCTAGAGCACTGTGTAGCGATCCCTCCCATGTGGGGATCCTCCTAGTTTATCAGAATCACTCGTGTCCTTCAACGTGGGGTGCCCATGATCCCTCGGGGCGTGGGAAGAAAATATTAGAACAATTTTTTTATTTAAAAAAATACAACTATAAGAAAGTAATTAAGCTTTACTGATGTTTAATATGTCAAATAATATGAAATATATATATATATATATATACACACACACACACATACATATACGAGGGCTATCCGGAAAGTATCCAGCCATTGTTAATATAACAATAAAAATGTTTATTTAGTCAAAGTAGAAGTCTAAAAAAAGAAAAATATTTAATGTAACATGGCTGGATACTTTCCGGACAGCTCTCATACACACGGGAAATGTACACTCAGATTTTTTCCATCTTACCATGATTGCGTGGCCCCTCCCAGCGACCTCCCTGTGGACAAACTCTGTTCCATTTTCCTAACTCCAGTCCCGATCAGGATCTGGTGTGAAGTAGGTGCTCTAAAAATGCATGTTGAATGGATACATGTACGTAAAATACAAGCTACTTTCTACATTCTAGGGGGACCTGAGGCCTCCCTTCGGGCAGAGGGGTCAGTGAGTCAAGACCCTGGGCTGAGGAAAAAGGCCACTGTCGACAGATTTCCGAGAGAAGCAACTGGGGTTGGGGTCTTTCTCCTCTAATTCGCCCCCCTTCCCACCCTCCTGTGGCTTCTGCTTAGACAAAACTCTTGTCCTTTGAAGCCCAAGATGGTCCAAGATAATAACTGACTCATGATCATGACTTTGGAAGATTTTGGAAACTGGGCCATACATTTCCAAAATGTGTGGCCCAGTTTATCAAATAGGCCGAAGGTCCTGACTCCCCACAGCCCAGGAGGAGTGAGATCTCAGTGCTTGGTATTGGTGGGGACAGAAAAACAAGAGGTAATGGAACGATAGGAGCAGAAAAACAAGGCAGGAACAGTTACAGAAAAACAGTAAGAAGGAAATAGTTACAGAAAAATAACCAAGGGAAAGAGTTATTTCAGTCTTAATGAATGGGGTAATTAGACCATGGAATAGGAAATACACTTTCGCTTTGCACCCTTAAACTTTCCTTATAATAAATTCTTCACGCATACTTGCTGAGTGTCTGTCACCTCTGTCACATGGGCCAAGGCTTGCGATTCCTCCAAGCCAGGAGCCCAAGAACTGGGGAAATACTTCAAAGTCCGGCCACGGACAGGACCGTGACAGTATCATTCCAGGCCACGGCAGGGAGGCTGGAGGGCTGAGACAGAACATTGGACCAGTACCTGGAAGCCACCCGATATAAATCTGTGTCCACTGTTGAAGCAGAAGCATAGCCAGAACCCTCCAGCTAGCCCCAGGTGACAGTGAGGAAGGCTGCTGATGACATCTGTGACCACTGGAGTAGGAAGGTGCCAGATGCCTTCACATCTGTGTACATTCTAGGATGTCACAAACACCTGGGGCCCACTACTCAGAGCAGTGGCTGTGACAGCTTCCTCTTCTGCCACCAGCAGCCCCACCTCTTCCCAGAGGCAGCCGCACCTGGAGTTTGTGCATCACTCCCTCTCACCAAACTAAACCTGCGTCGCCACGGCTTGACATTTGTCTAAACTGTGTTGCTGAGTTTTTCAGAAGAAAAACTTTCGCATTTCAGAAGAATGGCATCCCACTTGATACAGTCTTTTTGGAACCTACTTTTTTTACTCAAGCTTCTCCTTCTAACATTTATTCGTATCAATGGCAGCTTTTTTTTGTTTCACAGATTTTCTTTTATTTAGGAAAGCAACATACAGTCACAGGTATTTCAGAGAATGAACAAAGTCTAAAGACAATACTTAGTATACAACCCGCTGGCTTCTGCCTTCTAGACTCTGTGGCTCTTACTGTCACTGACGGGGTTAACTCCCGCGTTGGGAAGTTCAGAAACAAGTCTCCCCGGCAACGGTGGCCATTTCAGCAGGCATTTTTGTGGACTAACGTTACGTCAGGTTTCATCTTCACTGTTCTTTAACAAATGTGACAGGGACTGCGCTGGGGACACAAGGGGAACAATAATCACTCTCTGCCCATAGGAGCTCACAATCTAACAGTGAGAAAGAGAAGCCAACAGCCAGCATACTACAGTGTAGCGAGTGTCACCAAAGGTACCAGCTTGGTGTGCTGTGGGGACCTGCAAGACGGCCACTGCCTGAACTCTGGTGGCTGAGAAGGCTTCCTGGGGGAGGTGAGGCCTAAGGGGAGACCTGGAGGGCGAGTGGGGATGTTAGGCAGGCAAAGGAAGACCTCTTGGCTCGAGTCTGACCCTTTTCTCAAGACCTAGTTCAGGCCCCTTAGCTGACCTATTTTTCACCTTTGAAATTCACTAATCCACTGTCTGTTCTAGTCACAATTCACTGCTTTGTCTTGGTGGTTAATTTTCACAAGTACACATCTTATACTCCAAAACTACGTTGCTGTCTCCTGAGGATGGAGATTCTTTTAACCTTGGTATTTTTTCACTGCACCCGTGACTGTGTGTCGGACACAGCGGCTGCCCACCGACCTGGCGGGAAGCAGAGTTTTCTTAGGCGAGTCAGCACTTGGCCGGAGCCAGAAGGATGAGGTGGGTGGTCGTAGTGGGTGAAAAGGGGCCAAAGATTTGCAAACGAAACACAGAAACCCCACCCACGAGGCCAGTGCCTGGACCAGAGGGCTCAGAATACTTGCTATTTACTAATGGGAAAAGTTAAAGCACAGAGCGATTCTCTCAACAGCACAGTCATTTGAAGGAAAGAAAGAAACAAACATCTTGTTGCAACCCACTGAAACTAGACAATAGGCGCATTCCCCGTCTGACGCCCTCAGACCGTGGGTCCCAGACGCGACGTCGGCTCAGTCGAAGGTGATCCGGAAGCTGCGCTCCTGCTCCTTGCGACGCCCCTCGCACACCTTGGTCACTTCCTCCACTTTCCTCTGCAGCAGGGCCGAGTTCTGGTCGATCCACTGCAGCGAGTCCATGTGCGCGTTGAGGATCTTGCAGATCTGCTGCAGCGGGTCGCTGGTGTCGGCGGGGCCCCCGGATGTGTTCAGGTGCTCGATGATGTCCTTGAGGTCCTGGGCCATGCGCTTCAGCTGCGCGTCGATGTTCTCCGCCAGCTTGTAGGTCTTCTCGCGCTCCTCGTCGGCGTGCTGCAGGTAGATGGTCCCGCTCTGCTCCTTGACCGACTCCTCCAGCGGGCTCAGCAGGTCTTCCAGCTCCTTCTGCTGAGACAAGATGAAGTCGAGCTCCTGGTCCAGCCTCTTCTGGTCCAGCTTCACCTTCTCCACCTCGCGGTGCAGGCTGGTGATCTTCTCCCCGTTCTCGATCAGCGTGCGGTCCCAGGCGTTGACCTGGGTGGCCTGCTGCAGGAAGTGGCGCTCCTGGTCCTCCAGCTCCAGGCTCCACTTGTTGATCAGGCTCTCCAGCTGCGCGTAGGTCATCGCGGGACTGGTGGCCGCCCCGGTAGCTGCACTGGGGCCAGGCGGGGCGGTCACGGTAGCTGCCGCATTGCTGGGGATCGCGGCTGGTGCCAGTGGTTTTAGATTCAAGGCAAAGCCGGTGCTGGTGGTGGCGGCGGTGGTGGCAGCGGTGGTGGATGTGGCTGTGGAGGCGCCAGAAGCTGCTCCAGGGGCCTTCAAGCTGAAGCCCAGCGTACCGGCCCCGGCAGCTCCAGCTGTGGTTGTCGGGGGACAGAGGGAGAGCCCGGTGGCGGTGGATGAGGTTGGAGCGGTTGCTATTGAGGCAAAGAGGGTGGGCCCAGCACTGGTGGTGGCAGCAGCGGGCGTGGGAGCGGCTGGCTGTGTGGCCCCTGCTCCAGTGGCTGCTGGCGTGGCTGGAGTGAAGGGTAATCCAGCAAGTGCCGTGGGCTGGGCCGAATGCCCCACTGAGCCGATGTTGAAACCGGAGGTCCCGCTCTGGGACGTGCTTCCACCAGTGAATGAGAACCCTCCGGACGTGGTGGACGGAGCAGCAGAGGTGGTGGAGGAGCCAAAGACAAAGCCGGTGGGTGCTGTGCCCTGGCTGGAGGTGGCGGTGCTGGGCATGGCATTGGTGAGGGTGCTGCTGCCGAGCCCAAAGCTGCTGAGGGCGGCCGTGGCCGGGGTGGTGCCCGTGTTGCTCAAGCTTAGCTTTGGAGCATTGATCCCTAAAGAAAACCCCGCTCCTCCGGAAGCAGGAGCTGTTGTTCCAAAACTGAATCCTGGAGTTTGTGTGGCTGGAGTCTGGGTATTGAATGAGAACAGGCCGGTGGAAGAGGAACTTGCAGGGGGTTGGGAGGGAGTCCCAAAATTAAACCCTCCAGTGCTGGCAGCGGAGAAAGAAAACCCTGTCGCGGATGTGGTTGTTGCTGTCTTTGCAGTGCCAAACGTGAACCCGCCTGTAGGGGCCCCAGTGCCTCCAAAATTAAACCCGCTCATGGCTCCAGCCTCTGGTGGCAGCAGCTACTTCAGCTCCCGAGGCAAATCCGTCAGCGTCTGCAACCTTGGGAAGATTTTTAAAGCAGAGTAAGTGACATGATCAGATGGCAGTTTTGGAAAGGCAAACTCAGTGGCGTGACCAAGCATGCTTGGTTGGAGGGTGGCGGGACTGGATAATGGTAACATGCAGTGACCCTTCCTCCTCCTCCTGTGTAACCTAAATCAGGCTCTGCTAAACTAGGAGAGAAGGATCCAGAAGCACAAATCTATGCCCCGGGGGCCAGGCACTAGGAGCTGGGGTGCTAGGGATGTGTGTGGCCATGTTCAGCACAGTGGGAACTTCCAGCTCCATGGAGGAGAGAAGGCAGGAGAACAGGACCCTGAACGGACCTGAGTCCCTGAGGAGGAGGCTCAGATCCGAGGTGCCTCCAGTGAGCAGGACACAAAGTAACACCTGTATGACCTTCTCCCCAGAGTGGAACCCAGTGAGGTTTCCTTGCTGACTGCAAGCGGGGTGTATGTAAGATGTGGCTCATGCCGCCCAGAGTGCCTCTCTGGACCTCACACAGAGATGGGCCCCAGAAACCTGGGCTGTACGGCTTGGCCTTGGCCACTGAGGGACCCATCCAGGCACGGCCGGCACCATCTAGCAGGAGAGGGCATACTGGAGCGTCCTCCTCCTCCTAGCTCAGAGCGGGGTGTAAGACCCAAGTGCTCAATTAGAGCACTAGATCCCCCTGGCCGCAGCCATTGGCTCAAGGATAAACTGAGACCTGATTCAGCCAATCAGAGTTCTCCCCTGGGTTTTTTTTTTCACCAAAAAGGCCCAGGTACAGTGCAGAGGGTGTGCATCTGGACCTTCCCCTGGGCATCTTCTCAGCCACCTGCAGACACTGGAGACCATGAGCCAGAGAGATCAACAGGTGGGGTCGGGGGGAGGGAGGGTAAGGAGCACTCCAGAAGTTCCGCTGGCCAGCACACTCCCCTGCACTGTGCACGGACTGCATTGCTGTAACTACTAACTGAAAGCCTCCCAGCAGTGCCATCTATCAGCCAGAAGGTCGAAGGTTACCTGGTAAGGAAAGGGTAGGAGGGAGCACTGCACAGGGGTGTTTAGGTAAACGGCCGCACACCGAGCATCGATTAGGAGGTGGGCCTGGGAGAAGCGCTCACACAGACACTAGCTCTCACCAGTGCTGGAGGGCAGGATTCTTGTCCCCAAGTAAGAGGTGAGGAAATAGGGTCAGAGAGCTGCGATTTACCCAAGGTCACCAGCTAGCAAGTAGTGAGCCAGGAGCTGACCCCAGACTGCAGGCCTGCTGGATGACAGGGCGTTTCCCTACCTCCAATCAGATGTGAGGGCAGCCGACCTGTGCTCTGCCCACTGATGCACACAGAGTAGGAAATGACAGCAGAGGCTGAAGTAGACGCAAACCGACTAGCGCAGTGTGATCTACGCTGCGGCAAAACAGCACAGCTCTGGGGGGAGGCTGGGAGGAGACACACGAGGCTGGCAGGCGCGGTCTCTGGGTGGTGGGCTACACGTGGGCGTCTCCTTTCTACTTTGCAGTAGCTTCCAAATGTTCTCTCTACACAGTGGAGAAACCTAATTGATAGGCTTTAGATCTTGAAAAAGGATCGAATTATGGAGTGTGAATTCAACCCGAGGAACCAGTAGGCTGATGCAGCCAGTTTTCACAATCACATGTGAGTGGGATACATCAAGCTGATGAATCGAAGAGGCTCTCTGTCAGACCGTGTCTTTCCTCAAAGGTGACAGGGGGTGGGGACCCGGCTGGGCTGAAGGCAGTGGAGAGCCAGCACATGCAAACTGCTTCAGGGCTGGCTGGGCCTGGTGTCTGAGGAGCTCAGCGTTTCCCTGCAGGCGGTAGGGGCCCTAAATGGTTTCCAGTAGAGCTGGTGTAGGAGGGAGGATAATGATCCCCCAAAGGTGTCCACAGCCTAAGTCCTGGACCCTGGGACTATGTTACCATATGCCGTAAAAGGGACTTTGCAGATGTGATTAAATTAAGAATCTTGAGATGGGGAGATTATCCTGAAGTATCCAGTGGGCCCTAAATATAATCACAAGTGTCCTTATAAGACAGAGATAGGGGCTGGGCGCAGAGGCTCACGCCTGTAATTTGTACACTTTAGGAGGCTGAAGAGTGAGGATCGCTTGAGTTTGAGACCAGCCTGGGCAACAGAATAAGACCTTGACTCTACAAAACAGTAACAAAAATTAGCTGGATATGGTGGTGCGCACCTGTAGTCCCATCAGCTACTCAGGAGGCTGAGGCAGGAGGATCGCCTGAGTCCAGGAGTTTGAAGCTGCAATGAGCTATGATCATGCCACTGCACTCTAGCCTTGGTGACAGAATGAAACTCTATCTCAAAAAAAAAAAACAAACAAACCTATACAGTCTGGCCAAAGAGGCAGC